ATGGAAAGACTTTTTTTCCCTTTTTTTAAAATAAATACATAAGCTGAAATTTTATCCAGCTCTGGAAGCTTGTGGGAACAAACTCAGTCTAAATTATTTTTAGAATTTACATTTACTTTGTGTAGGTATGCATAGTTTGTTTATCCTCATTATTTCTTTCCTTGACCGTACTTGCTGTACATGTTTAGTTGAATTTGTATGGCTATGAATCATTTCAAAAAGGATGTGACAGATGAAAAACAAGTGTAACAAACTCTATTTATTTGATTTTAATAGAAAAGAATGCACCCGATTTTAGGACTTTACATATTTTGAAAAGTGCTCCGAATCCTTACAAGTGACAGGAATAAACTCTACAAAGGAAAAGCCATGATCTTTGACTCTTTAGAAAACTGCAATGAAATCTGATCTACAGGGAGGAAGAAATCACTTCCAAAGTTCAGTGACATGCGAAAACAATTAACCGCTAACGCTGCGGCTGCATTCGATAGCAGTCAGCTAAAGGGCGTTTATCATCATTTTTACAACTCTTCCTGTTCGGCTGACTTCGACCTTCTAGTTCGATCTTGACCAGCTTTTTTATCTCTGATGTGTAGCTCTCAGCATTCCCGTTTGTCCTGGCATCTGTGTCAACGTCATAACCAAGACGTACTCATAGTCATTGACTTACGGGCATCAGGAAAATGTGTTTTAAAATATATGTCGTCCATCCGTCTTCTAGGTAAAGGAGTGGCAAGCGCTCGTCTTCAGCAGTCATAGGATGAGAGTTGAAGTCCAATTAATATAGAACACATTTTAATTTTGCTGACAGAGGGAGGAAACCGTATTGAATCCACACAGGCACTGACAAAACGTTTTTATCTTGGTATTATACAACTAAAAACATTATTTGAGTCTAATGCTTGTGTTGAAGATCCAGAACTCACTTTACAAAAAGGCAAGTTTAAATTTAAGCCTGAATTAAGTGTAAGACTTCGTCCTCTAATAGATTACACTTGTTTAGCTGGCCTTGACGTGACGCTGTGTTACTGGAATTTAATTTCACATTACATCACACAGTCTCCTTCCAGACCGTTCATAAGATTTGCAAACTCCCGTCTCCTATTTCTCATGCAGCTGTTTGATAACCGCACAGAAACTCGGCCTTTATGACCTTTTGTCCGCTTCAACACGTCGGAGCGAGTCGGTGACGTAACTCGCCGCCACAGGGTTATAAAAGAGAAACTGACATCTTACACATAAATCTGCAAGCAGATTTGAGTCAAGAATAATGAATTCTGCTCAATCTGTGTGGATGTATTTTAATCAGGGCCTCAGACGTGTTGCATCACATTACAAGAGCTTGGGCAACATTTAATCCGCGAGACAATGTACGAAGTGGACCACGGTCCACTGGTTGGATCCCTTCCCGACCCGCAGGCCTGCTTAATATGTTTAATGTTAATCTGTAATCCTGGCCCCAGGGCTGAGCTCAAGTCATTGCTATGGTAATTACCCAAGGTGCACCAGAAAGATCCGTCATCAGCTTCGAGACATCAAAACTGACTGCAGCAGGGCTCTTTCATGTGGAGTCAAAGTTCACTTGTTACCTAAATGTTTCCCAGAAGTTACGCAACCGAGCGTTTGTAGGCCTGAAAGATTCAACGACTGCTTGAGATTCTGCAGCTGACGAAGGCTCCACCCGACTCGGTGGCAAAGACGGAGCAACGTTCTGCGATAGCTCTTTCTGCTCATTATTTTGAGTGTAATTGAACGTCTGTTAAGCCTTTTTTTTTTTTTACCTTGAGCTATTTTTAATGTTTGCTACTTACTGAAGGAAGTTACAAATCTTACAAACGGTGATTTGCCTGCATTTGAATCAACTCCATGGCCAAATGGGGAAATTGGTTTCTGTCCAAACAGGCAAAATAATATCAGTGCCCCTTTTAACCGTGTGTTGCAAATCTTACTGATTTAACCAAAAATGATTAAGATTTCTTGGTCTCTAATTTGTCCTTTAAAAGAAAAACAAAACACAAAAAGAGAAACTTTTATTTCTCAGGAATAAGTGTAGGTGTTCAGACAGAACCTAGAAACAGAGACAAGTCAGATAAACACTCTGAAACATTTTCTTCATGTTTCTGTTAGGTGCCTCCATGGCTGACTGACAGAGACAGTTTTAACAAGCAACCTTCCAGCAGACAGACAGGAATTGCAGTGGATCGCAGAAGCCGTAATGCTAAACCGCAGGATGCTTCACAGATGGCAGCTTTGTCAAGACGCTACAATGGGGGCTTCTTGCTCAAATATTGCTGGAAAGTGGAGCCATCCAGACTGTAATAATTAAAGTGATACTCCCACCTTAGTTTTATCCACTTTGAAGCTGGACAAAGTACTCATCTGCAGCCCGCCAGACAAAAGCTCTCTTTTGGTTGTCTAACCTATTATTTGGACTTACAAACAGGAGCGAGAGCCGACTGTCATTCCCTGAAAATTGTTGTATATTGTGGTGGAGACACACAGCTATGAAAAGAAGAAAAGGCCTATTTTAGGGAGTTATAATCATCTGAATCGGCATAGTTAGAGGTCTTGATACCACCGAAATACTTGAGGCGAAATCTTTGAAGTCAGATAAGTTTGATCGAATGCAAATGCATATATCTCTGAAAACATTTCACTTGCACCCTACACTATTCAGCAGCAACAGTGAACAGCATTGTTCTTTTTGTGCCTCAGATCATTTCATTGACCAGTGATTGTGAATTATGAATATGTCCACTTTTACAGCTTTTTAAAGCCTTTGTTAAAATGTGTAGTCTTGACCAAATTGCCGAAGGCTTATCGGGAATGAGTCACAAACCTGTTCTCAACACTAACCTTAGAAGAAAAGGTGAATTTGGAAATAAGCTTTGCTCAAACACTATCAAAGCAAGCGGAGCTCATGCTACGCCCCTAACAAAATCAAACGATGCAAAAAAAAAAATATCTAAATGACGCCAAACTAAATCAAACAAATCTGAAACGGTGTTTTCTGACATATCCCTCCGTTCTCCTCAATGACCAGAAACTTTTGTTACTTTGAGAGATTGGTCTACTGTTTTGAGGCTTTATTTTGGCTGATTGCATTCATGGTGTCTAAAATGTTGATGCTGCACAGAAGATTTGGATATTTGCCCTTTGACTCGTCCTCTCATATTGTGTGTTGGAACCGTTTCCTTGGAGAGGCAAAGGAGATTATGCAACATTTTTAATTTATTTGTCATTTATTTAATATCTAATTACTTTTTTTACTTTATTTGCAAGGTCTGGATCTCCCTGAACACTTAATTGAATAAAACATATATCCTGGTATTGCTTAATAGGTTGAGTTTTAGAGATTATTGTTATAGATGTGCTCTCATCATGAACTAAATCAACACTGTGAAGCAGCCTTCACCTGCTCTGACACAGAGATATTTCAGAAAATACAGTGAATTAAAAAGGCTTTACAGATAGTGAGTTACTTTAGACTCAACATGTAAGATTATAATTGCATAACTTAATGATAATAGGCCGGTATCTAAATTTAATCGAAACTCTTGTTTCCTGAAAATGAGCCCCACTCCAGGTCTGATCCATCGGTTAAAGACAAATGGGACTCGGTCGTTCATCAAACATTGAAAACACAGCAGAGACAATCATTGACCACAGGAGCTGTCATGACAGCCACCAGAGGACAACGTCAGGACCTGCCGCCGCCACAGCTCCCACATTCCTGGCAGACTCCGCCCCGACCAGGAGCTGACGTCCAGGAAAACGCTGCAAACTTGCACTTTCAGATTGTACATTGACCTCTGACCCAAAGCTATTCCCGAACATAGAAAGAACACATGGCTGTTACTATTTGACATCGTTGTGAGGGAGTTGAGGATGAATGCTGCTTTGAGTTGTGTTGCCCATTTTAATGGTTGTGTTTTCGAAGCTCATTGTTTTTCTCTTGTGTAATAAAGATGTACTGTATGCTAAATAGGCTTGTCATAAGTTAGTGCAGATAACAACTTCCTTGTTTTTGATGTGTTCCTGCCTGTCACTTCAAGTTATCGGGTTGCTACATTTAAATAAGCCACACTTTCAGCATGGATGTAAATCGACAAAACCAAAATAATCCAGATGTCTTTGTGCTGCATGGCTTTACAAACACATTAAATCCAGGTCAGGCAGGAATGCAGGGAGGCTTCAAAAGTTAAAGTTGAAGCCTGTGAGGCTGTTTATTGAAATGGGTCAGCGTTTGCACTGGCTGGATTTAAAGGTTTTTTTTGTTTGTTGTCCAAGGGGGGACTGTAATCCAGGAAAAAGCAAGGAACACAATGTAAAAGCAGCACAAATTCCCCAGCTTAATGAAAAGAAAGGCTCTTACACCTCATGTCATTTTCTTTTTATTTTATTTAACCAGGAAGTCACCATTGAGATGAAGAATTTCTTCTGGCAAAACATTCAATCTCATACTCTATCCAGTGAACAATGGAGGACGTCTTCCTCTTTTGGGATTACAGCAGAGCGTTAACGTTTCAGGTGTATGCTGGTGGTATCTGAAGAATCATCGACAATCTATGCAAAAATAAGATAAAGTGTGTATCCGGTCACCTTTCCCCACAAAAGAACACGCACTGGCGTTTTTCTGGTTAGCACACGCAGTTCATCTTACTCACGTTTGTCAGAGACAAGATGTCAGAACTTACCCACCGAGGTTTCTAGTCTCATTTGAAGTAACTTATCAGTTTACCTTCACCCACACACACACACACACACACACACACACACACACACACACACACACACGTTTCAAACATGACGTGACCTTGAGCAGGTTCTGCACTGCAAGTTGTCACGGCGACCTTAAAACATCGGCATAAACATCTATTCATTTAACCTTCTACAAACATTTACTTTAGCAGTGAGCATACGCCCACCCATCAACTCCTGCAGACGCTTCCAATAAGGAAGCAAAAAGGGGGGGGAAAAAACCCAAAACAACAAAGTGATATAGTTCACATTTTATTTAGTTCCACTCATTCAGCTTTAACCTCTCTAGTACCAGACAGGATCTCATACAGCACAGCCTGTGAATCAGTCACTTACTGTCTACATCCACAGTTATCATGATGGCATTACACACATGGAAAATATTGTCCACGCAACACGTCAGTCTTTTTTTCGTGTGTCGAGGTTGTTCAGTTGTTGCTGGCCTGGAGGGAGCAGATAAATAGACACAACAGATCGGATGGGCTTCTGAAAAATAAGAAGCGAACCAAGAATCAGTCTCTTTGGTCATTTTACCTCATTTATTCGGTTTCAAAAGAGGAAACAGCTTCACACTGATCTGTCTGAGACTTGGCTTACAATGAAAACGCGCAGTGATCTTGTAAATCAGACTTGCTTTGCAGCGAACACGACTCCGTTCTTGAAACTGCATCCAACGACTGGTGTCCAAAGATGGCCAGATATCCCGTCATCTTTGTGAATTGCATACAAGTGCAAAAATCGCCTAGAAATTTCTGCGGTTGTGTAACAGGAACGAAATGCATGAAAAAAAATAAAAAATCTCAAACTTTTTCAGTCATATTGCAGAAGTGAAGCTTTCAAAAATCTAAAATGAGTCTCATCTGTTGCACGTTGCCTGGATAACCGTCATTGGTTAGATTTCAAATAAATGTGTAATTCTGAGTTCTTGAGGCATTAATGTACAATGTTTACGCTACAGATCTCGTAAAAAAAAAGTCTTGATGTCTGCATCAACAACTTAAATTATAACTGTCTATGTTAAATGTATAGTAGAAAATGAATTTTTAACAAATCTGTCAGTTTTTATAAAATGTAGACTAATAGTAAGTTTGATTGTAATCTGATACACATGCACTATCTGGAAATTTGAAGGAAAACAACAAACTGACTTGTTTGTAATTTACCAGACTAAATAATTGCATTTTAAACTTGGTTCCACTATCTGAATGGCTCACATTGACCCATTTAACTTACTGTTTTATGGTCATTTGGAAATCATCCCATAAAAAGCCACGGTGTCTAAAACACATAACACGAATGATCTCACAAAAAAAGGAACTAAATTAAAGAAAAAGAAGAAAATGAGGAGAACAATTATCATCGCCACCTTATCATTAGCTTCCCTTCAAGTCACATTTCTTTGAATGAGTCCAGTATACAAACTCCATGTTACTTTTGGTTGACTGCTGGTTGTTTTTAGTTAGTTTTCTTTCCCACCATCAGAACCCTCCTGTCCGTCGGACCAGTTCGTCCATGTCCTTACATTCAACAGTCTCTCTCTGGAAACCACGGCAGATCCAGTTTCGTGTCAGTTCCCAAAAAGAACAACTTTTTTTTTTTTTAACTCCATCACTCGCCCTTCCTACTGGACGCACACGTACTTCTTCCACCACGACTTGGACAGCATCTTCATCTTATCGGCGGTGCTGCGGACCTTCCTCTCCCGGCGTGCCCTCCTGTCGGAGTGCCGCAGCCCCACAGAGATCGCTGCGTCGAACACCTCCTTCAGGTTCTTCTGGGTCAGCGCCGAGCACTCCACGTACGTGACGGCGCCCATTTTCTCCGCGAGCGCTCTGGCGTCCTCCTCTGCCACGGGCCTCTCCCTCCGCCGCGCCAGCTCGATCAGCACCTTGACGTCCTGCCGCAGGTCGCACTGCGTGCCCACGAGGAGGATCGGGGTCAGGGGGCAACGGCGGCGGATTTCGGGGACCCACTTCTCCCACACGTTCTGGAAGGAAGCGGGGCTGACCACGCTGAAGCAGAGCAGCAGGGCGTCGGTGCGACTGTAGCAGAAGTGGCGGAGTTTGTCAAACTCATCCTGTTGGACAGAGAGAGAAAGAGGAAATGATGTCAATGATGCTAATGCTAATGATGACGAGAGCTCAACGTGAAATAAAAATATTTCTTGTCAGAGCAAGAGTTCACATGTGCTATAAACATGCAACTTAGAAGATTCATGGCGAAATGAATCTAAGCTACACTAGTATCACACACTTTTATTTGCTCTTATTTTAAGAAAGAAAGGAAGAAGTTCTTGCTAGCGTAACTAGCCAATCGTGAACCGCTAATGAAGCTAATGTTAGCATTTGCTTTCATCTTTTTTTGTTTGTTTTTTTAAATATGCACTGTTTTGGATTTATTAAAAACAGAAAGTAATTAAACATTCACTCCACTTGTACAAATGATTGAGAAAACTGGGCTTTTTTAACAAAAAGAAAGAAAACTTAGAAAAAAAAAGTTTTACGTCGACTTCTTCAGTAGTGTAATTTACATGGCAGTCAGATATAGTCTGACTAAAACGATGACATATTTATAACGCCTTCATTTGGAGCGAAACTAAAAAGATTCACCACTTTTATATCATTTGTCCGACAGCATTATGGGTTCTCGCTGTGACAAAGTGGGGGGAAAAGGGACGAAGCATTTGCAAACGGTGTCATAGAGCGGTCACCACAGGCTAACCGCTATCGGGTGTAAAGCTAGCATTAGCTTTGCAGCTTCCAATTGTGGTCAGACTAAAGGTCTATTTCTGTTTTTAGACGCGCTTGTACTGCATAAGCTTTGGTTAGCATGTAGCTAATTCCACAGTGACACTACATCAAACCCTCTCACTTTCACTTTTTTTGTTACAATAAGTACCGATTTTCTTGAAAGATTTTATATAAAATTTTAAAGGGTTAGATAAAAGTTTTACAGGGAAAATTAAAATACCTGTGACTGATTTTTTTTTTTTTTTGTCTCCCCTATTCTGATCACACAGCTGTGATTAAAACACAGTACAGAGAGAAAGGAATTGTGCCAATGGTTGTGCTAAAGCAGACTGTCTGAACAGTGTTTAGAATGTGGTAATTTACAGTATAGACTAGTTGTACCTATTCATTTAACTCATCTGCAGTAAATCTCTTACATTAACACACCGGAGCTATGGCGCTTTGACAGACACGGCCCTCCCACAACCATGATTAAAGTTGGCAGAGACCTGAAGCCAAACCGTTTCCTTCTTCGGGGGTTTAACTCCCGCCTTCCCTGGACTAACTCTTGGACCTCTAAGGTCTAAAATACACGCTCTCTGATCTAAAAATCTCAACTCTTCAAAGCTGAACAGAGTGAAGCAGCAATCAAGCGAGAGGTAGTGAAGATATGGTCAAACATAGCTATGGAGCAGCTATGATCATCACCCTGGCTCCCCCTTTCATCTCTGTTCTTTCTGGCACATTCTCCCCTATTGCGTCAGTTCAGCAACTGTAGAGACGATTTTTATCTAGCTGTTTGCCCAAGCTTGTTCGTATGGGTGTGAAGTGGTAACACGAAGTACAGCTTGCAGCGAGCCGTGAGGTTTTACACATATTTAGGGTTAAAGGTGCTGTTCCAAAAGTTAAAACCCTTTATGATGCGGGACAGAACCGGGTGCGCCTTTGTTGCTTTTTTTGAATGTCAAACATGCTGCTTTCACAGTGAGCCGGATTATAAAGTAACCCCCTAGCATTATTTGGGAATAATACTGGATTAATACAGAAATAATAAATACATTTACTTGGGCAAATTGTTTCCCCATCGTGTCCATCAGAGAATTGGACAACTGCAATAAATATATGACAAACGCTGCTCTTGTTGACAGAAAATAGCGAAAGTTAAATCTGAGTGGTACTGGAAATCCACAAAGATGACATCTTTGTCCTCACGTGAATATGTCCGATTTAAAACAGCAAATCCTGAAACGTGAAAGCAGAAAAAGGCAAAAACCTTTTCTCTTAGATTGAGCTTAATCCATTAAGACCAAATGCAGCGTACACTATCAGACCAGATGCTGTGTTTGTATGCCAAACACTGAAACTGATCAAATGGGTTGCATGCCAACCCGTTTGATCAGTTTCAGACCACTTGTATGTAGAGTCAAAACATCACAAAGATTTGAGGTGAAACTTTGAAATTTGGAGATTAAAAAAATTTCACAGTTCTCTTTTTGGAGGCTAAAATTCTCCATTTGTGGTTCAGTGTAGGTTTCAGACATTAAAGAATCTCTAAAATCCATGTTTGACTAAGGCTCAGAAATCTGGGAAACTTATTTTTAAAAAAATTATAAAATTTGCAGCTAACTAATGGGAGAGAGGGATTAAATATGTCAACATTGTTCCGCAACAGAAATTTCAGATATAGTTGGGGAAAACATAGTTTAGGGTAATCTTGACTTAAGCAGCCGTATTTGAAGCACTGCTCAGTATGCCTATGCTAATGCCCAGTCACATGCAAACTGTGAACTGCTTATTGCATTGATAGCAAGGCCACGCCCCCCTACATACACTATGCACAACTCAAACAAGAAATGCTTCCTTTCATACTTCAAAATAAGAGCAGCTTACTTCGCTAAATGGTGTCAAATGCCACATCTAAAGTTAATAATAACAGCTTAAGTGGTTGGTGCAACTAGGCGATGATTTGCAAGACAAACCGTTGTCTTTTAGATTACATAACGTTCATTTGTTTCAATCAAGGGAGACAAAGATACATCAAATGGACAAACAGCTAACTAATATTAATAAAATATGCCATTTATTTGTAGCACTTAAACGCTTGTGGGCTTATACCTCATTAGAGATGGTGTCATAGGCGTCTGTGGGTGAACAGTTCTCACCTGTCCTGCAGTGTCACACAGCTGTAGTCTCACTGGGCTCCCGTCCACCTGAACCACAGCTGTAGACGGAAAGACACAGATGTCAAAAGGCAAAGCAAAAGACGCACAATGCATATAGAATTACAACATTAAATGCAGTAAGAGTTTGTTCTGGGGTCAATAATATAGAGTTCAAATTTCTTGACAATATCTGGTGATACTTATTGGGAGATGGATGGATGTAAAATGTGATCAGTCTTTTTGGCAATATGTCTGGTGACCCGTACCATTAATGCAAACATACACCTGACTATAGTCCACTTCAGTGGACTTGGGAAGCAGAACTGTACTCCTTAACAGTACAACACATGCACTTGATCATATTTTCAAATAGGGATACTCCAATGAAAGCCAAAAGTAGGGAAAATGATTTGCACAGCAGAGCGAACAATCCCAGTGATTGTTCTTTGCAGTAGCCTCAACTGTACACTAACTCAGAATGCATACAAAAAACAACAAAGCAGGTTTTGCTTATCTAGTAACTCTCTCTTTAAATAGGCCTAATTTTCAGATTTGGAAAAAAAAAAAAAAGAAGAAAGAAGTGGATGAGTCACCTCACAGCCAGTTTCATTACAGGATCTTTTTGTTCTTTTCAGCCGACTGAACACAAAGCAAAGCAGCAGGCACATGGAAACGTTTCCAGCACGCCTGCAGTATGTGTGGTCGGTCATGCCACTTGCTCAAAAAAACGTTTTACTGAAACATTTAATGCACGGGGGCAGCTATCGCAGCTTTCACAGAAGTCAAGAGAAAACAGTTGGCGGACATGAAAGAGGGAAAACGAGGGCGGGAGTCCCACTGGGTAATTATTTCCTAATATCCAACATATGATACTCTTGATTTTCTGGAGAAAAAAGAAGAAGAAAAAAAAAAAACTCCAGCAACGTCCCACCTGCAACGTTGCGTAACTGCTCAGAAAGTCAGTTTTCCAAGGCGACCTCTGTGTGTGTGTGTATGTGTGTGTGTGTGT